AGTGACCACTAACATTTGGATACGTTACTTATTACTTAATAATGCTTATTATAACAGATGATCACTTATAAATATAATACAAAATTTACGGAATAAACATATCTTAATTATAATGAATTTAGAGGTTAATCTGTCTGAAAAACTTAAGCACATTATGAATACTGTTGGGATCATTTAGGTTTGTCTTCATATCAGATTTAATGTTACAGTTCATTCTTTTAAAGGAACCTTCTAGTCTTGAATTTGTGCAAATACAAAAATTTAAAAACGTCGGGATTTAAATACTTGCAAAATAAACAATCTGACGTGGGTTAATTTAACCTGACTAGTAGTAGTAGTAGTTTTAGTATTGAACTACCCTGTCATAAATTTATTCTCGCAAAAAGACTTTCATAGTGGAGCGCCTGTGTCGTCGCGAAACATTCGAGTTTTCATACTTGAAACGCCCGCATATCTGTTTACAAATTTCTCCGCGTCGATACATCTGCAGGTACTTTTCATTTTCTTGACACTTTGATACCCGGTCAGGCATTATTGATTACTGAGTACTGCAGGGATAAATTCACTAGTTATATTCTTTGTGAATAACCGTGACACTAAACTGGTTAGACGAAAATATTTGTAAAAAATAATTATAAGTTTAATAAAACCACAAATCGTTAACCGTGTTGGCAATGATAGATTACCTCGATCATCGAGGTAAAATTTTTCATTTCTTATGTCTACAAATGTTTCTTTACTATGGGATGTCGTGAACACCCCTGCCGAGCATTAACGTCAATAAATTTCATCTGCCTGCTTAACCGTTAGGCGCCGCGGAAATTTTTGCCATTTCACATAACACTAATTCTTTCGTAGCAAAGATAAATAGGAACGATTATTACTTGTTTGACATCACAATTCTTATATTACACTGTTGTCAATTTACTTACGTTATTAAACACTTTTATTCGACATCAGTTGAATTACATATTATAATTAGTCTACCAATTCGGAAGTGTCGGTCATCGGTGACTGACATGCATTTAACGTGTTAAGGGTTAAAGAAATCGAAGTTTATAAGACACTTGAACAAAGATAATAATGTATGTAAGTTCCGAACCATTGCCTACTAGTAGCGAAAATGAAATTCTCATTATAATTTATAGTCTTACTGCAGAAACATCATCAATCGCCTGGAAACATTTCTCTAATAAAAACGAGTCTAAGCATGCTATTCATTGGATAATAACGTGGACTAGGTCGGTGTTAAAAAGTTTCACTTGAAACTCGACGATAAACCTTCTCTCTAGAACTCTGTACATACAAGAGACGATGTTACATATTTGAAGGTAATGGTACCTGCATTGTGTCGCCGTATTACTATGCAGTAAAATCTTTGAACAATGAATTCATTTTCTGAAGTAATTTTCAGTGATTAAAATAAAGTGCAGACTGTTCTTTTCATACAAAGTTGGTTGCTTATATGCTGCTAACGTGTAATATAAGGACCGATTGGTAATTATTTACGACGCTGATTTCTCGCCGATTCGGATGAGCTTGAAATATGTTGACAAAGTCATCATTCTGAACAAGTTTTCTCTATATATGTTACCGCCGCTCGGCCTTAGTTTTCCATATATCCTCAAAAATATGTTCGGCAATGGGAAGTTTCCATATTTATTTACAAAAAGGGTAACCTTCGTATGACCTTGATCCTGACATAATGTTAAAGTTGTTTTGTACACTCAAGACTTTAAACTTTTTGGAAGCTAGTATTGGTTCGAAAATGATGAAGCATTAAAGTTTCACATTGCGCTAAAAATGTTCGTCTTCATTTTCATTTATTGCAGTCATTCCTTATAATTTATGTAATTACTCAAACTTCATTTAAATGATAGAGATTGGTATTAGTGGGGCTAGTTTTTCCGAGATGGAGGTGCAGCCTTCCCCTGCTTCAGAGAAACCAATCCCCTTAATGTCAATATTTGTCATTTAAATGAAATTCGTGTATACATATTATAGGGAATAACTTCAAAAAATGAAAATGAAGACGAATATTTTTAATGCAATGAGAAACTCTGACGCTTCATAACTTTTGAACCAATACTCACTTCCAAAAAGTTTAACCCTTTGAACTCTGTAGGTTCCAATATTGCACCAATTATAATATTAAATATTTTAATGAATCTTAAAGAAACCACCCTAAAATTATTCGATTTTCCACACACCCAAATTCTGTACTACCAAGGAAAATAAAAGATAGAAGGAATGTTATAGCATTTCTAATTTTCGCTAGGAATACTATAAAAATTAGTTGCAGTTGCTGATAGATTACAAAACAACTCGGAGTGTTAAGGGTTAAAGTTCGGGGTGTACAAAACAAGCAGATTAACAGTATATGTCAGGATCGCGGTCATACGAAGGTTACCCTTTTTGTAAATAATTACGGAAACTTCCCATTGCCGGAGATATTTTTGTGAATATCTGGAGAACTAAGGCCGTGCGGCAGTCACATGTATAGGGAAAATTTGTTTAGAATCAAGTCCCCCAAAACGAATTTCAAGGTCTTCCAAATCGGTGAGAAATCAGTGTTGTTAATAACTACCGAAGTATTTTGTTTTTGGGTATGCATATGTGTGTAATAATGAAAATGTGGTATATTTTATTTTTAAAGATACTTTTTAACAAAGTTTATTTCTTTCATCCGACAATAAAAGATAAAAATGAAAAATTTTAATTTCCCCGAAATATATGGTAAATGTGACATCTACTTTAGAAATGTAATAAACAAATTGAAGACTTTCATTTTGAAATCAGTATCTATGAATTTCGACGTAAATTGAACATAAGATGCATTTTATTCAGGAAAATTGGATTTTCGCAAAACAGAAAAGAAACTGGCTGTAATTACATATATCAATTCCTCACTTCTGTTTCCGTCAATTAGTTTATATGTGTAATGAAAATTTATTACTTTCCTTCCTATATTGTACAAACTGAATTTATTTCTGACGTAGGTTTGATATTTGTCAATGGATTTACGGAAATGATGTTTTGTGCCATTGGATTAGGAGTTGCCAAAGGGATTCGTTCGGTCTATATGTCTTTGGTAATACCAGATTACGTCCCCATTGACAGGTTGCCGAACGCATCGGGAATTCAGATGATCGCTAATGGTATAATACTTTTACTTGCTGGCCCTATACTAGGTATGTAGAAACATTATAATACTAACACTAGTACACGAATTATAAATGATTATATAGCAGTAGAAATATTTATGGAAATATTTTTGCAATGGGCGCTATTATTTCATAACATAATTAATAAAATGATTTACATCTAATATATTTGATTGTACCATAAATAATAGTACGATAATGCTAAAATACTTGTTTTTATTTATTAACTAAGCACAGGACTATTTTCCATCAATTACATAATTGCTATGATTGTTTTTGTTCGATTCCCATATTATGATGTACTTTCACATAAAATGATGTATTAAAATAATATCTTTCTTTATAGATATTATGTATTATAAATTATGCACCTCGTATACGAGGAAACAAATTCTTTCATAAAACATGTTCCCAGTTTACGTAAAAATAAAAATGTTAAGATGATAAGAAACAATAAAATGTTGTCAAAAATACGTCAAAATCAAATCACTCTCTATTTATAGGTGTAATTCGTGACAGTGCTGGATATTACGCACCCAGTATAATTGTAATAAATTCTGTCACTGCGTTCACAATAATACTTTGGTCAGTGGAGATGATTATCGCGCGGAGGAGAAAACTGCGAAGAAATCAGCAACTAGATAACTGTTAATGTAAATACATGTGAACAGAACACGGCTGAATAACATGTAGATGCGAACTTTAGGTAATTCTTTATGGAAAAGTAAGAAAAAATATAAAATACAATTGTTTTATTCAATGTTTAAATTTCGAGAAAATCGAGTTTGATAATCGAGTTGAAAACGAGTCTATCTACAGCACGTCTCACTTTAATTTATAAATAAAATTACCTTCGAAACTATTCATTATTTAAAAAGTATCTCAAATAACATTTTCTTTTGTTTCAATGGGTTTTGGACGTAGATTGATTAACACTTTCTTGTAGAGCATGATCCGCTGCAATAATTGATGCAAAACAATACATGGTCATTCTTGAAAAAATAGTAGCAAACTTTATATTTTCTACACAAGTCCATCTAGAGACAAACTAAGTGTATTAAATTACTGCGCTCTCAAATCATAAAAAATTGCACTTGACACATTTTTGAAATAATGAATAGTTTTGAAGATAATTGGATGTGTAGATTAAAATATAACACCCGGTACAGTGTCATGACAAACATTGACTCGAAGTTTAACTTATAACCCCTATGCTTGCATGATTCTTAAAAGTTACTAGATTCAAGAAAAATCAAAAAGATATTTTACCAACAATATGTTACGATTAATTACAAAAGTCTGTTATAAAATACTTCGTATCACTCATATCACTTTATATCCACTAGTCCTCCAATTAAGAATATGCTGGTTAAAATAGAATTTTCCATAATAGTAAACAGTTCATGAAAATATTATTGATAAAGTATTTTTTTTTGTTTTTCTTTAAACCTAATTACTCTTAAATAGCATATAAATATTCTTTATGAGCAAAACAGATGTTGCATGGCGAATTATTAGCCGTAACTGTTCATGTATAATACTAACTATTTAATTGAATATTCAATTGCATATGTGCACAGTAGATTCTCAAATTTACTTTTATCGAGAAATGAACCTTAAACTAAAATACTGTATTATATATTATTTTTTTATTTTTCTATGAAGAAGTATTCCATACTTGCTTGTAGATGTTAATAAGCCAGATCTTGTATAATTATAATTATGTAATATATGATGTACTATATAGATAGTTAATTGTCATTGCTATACTGCCTCATTTATGCAGAGAGTTGTTATAAAAGGGAGACAATTTTATAGGATAAATGAGCAACACACATTGTTATATATAGAAAGTAATAGTGAACAGTATTGAATTGTAACTATAAATATTTACCTATTACTTTTAGTTTCCAGTACGTTTTTTATAATAATATTCATACATGATATTAATTATTTAAATGAATATTATTTATATGACATTGTACGTAATTACAAAATTGTATTACTAAAGAATAGTATAAGACAAATACATTTTGATCACACTTTGTATAGAAAATAATTTTTCAAAATATACTGATGGTAATGTAGTATTATTATTTTCTAACATTGATTATTGAGTATAATTGAATCGAACAGAAACTAGTAAGTAAGACACATTTACCAATTATCTCGTCTTTTCGAGGCCATATCTTAATAATAGTAGATTTTATGCAGATTTAAACATGATGTAAAATGTATTGTACACTTAGAAGAAAAGGTATCAAACCCGGAAATTAAAAAATTAAGAAAGATTAAAGATTAAGAGAATAAAATTTTAAAATAATTTTCAAAATTTTCAAAAATTTTGTTTTGCAGTCTTATAGACATGAATTTTATAAACCTAATGTATCTCTTACCGTTTTCAAGACAATCCACATGAAAGAAAAATTTTCATTCTTTCAAGGGGTGGTTTCACCCCTTCAAAGTGAAATTCGGCAGGAAAAAAATTGCAGTGTATTAGGCTTGACTTACTCTATCTACACACAAAATTTCATAATTTATTGAATTTCCGGGTTTGATACAATTCCTTGTTAATACCGTCCGTTGCTTGAAAGACGAGTCACGGAAGAAATACGGGTCTAAGTGGTCAAAATCTAGTGTGTTTTCGGCTCTAGTGTGCAATTGGTCACGCAACGTAAAACCCCCCTTACTCCTGTGCCGTCTTGCGTTTCGTCTTTCAAATAAGGAACGATATATTGACCGTTATAATTTCCTTGAGAAAGTTGCTGTACTTCATCCTCGAATTCTTTTATTTGAGGGTACCGTAACTGACACACATACATCATTAACATCTTTTACTTTTCCAATTTCATTGTTTTTACATGATCTTTTGACAAGGGCGTAATTAATAACAATAACAATTAAATTATACTTATCCTCTACATCTACTTATATTTATTAGTCTATTATTTAGTGTCGATAATCATGACGATTTATCAGGCGAGGTTTAAGCCCTTCAAAGGTTTCTCACTTCAGAACTGAGTTCTGCGTTTTATCGAAAATGCAGAAACTGTATTTGTAAACCATTTCTTCGTGTGTGGAAAAAAAAATATATTTATTATACATACTTTATTACAGAGTGATAGTAAGAGCTCTTTTAGTTCCTTACATTTCTGATGATAAGGAAAATTCTTGCTTCAAATTTAAATTTCCAAAGTTGTTATTTTTCCATTTTTCGAGACTATTTGCAATTCTAATTTTTGAATCTTCTTTCGTAATATTTCACAAGTTCATTTTCATCGATATCTATATCGCATGTTAAATTTTCAATTTGTGTCATTTAATGAAGAAATTGGAGAAAGAATT